ATGTGGTAGATCTCGGAGCTCAATGGGTCCTTGGAAAATCTAATGGAAAGCCTCTTAAAGCTAAAAACGTGGTGTACGATCTTGCCTCCAAGCATGGTCTGCTAAGTCCAGTGAATCAATTCGATAAACGTGAATTTGTCACTATTAATGGAATAATACCCGCCAAGGAAAGCAGCGAAGCTATGTTGATTCATTCTAATATTCTGGATAATATAAAGAAAATAGATTTCAAAGGAGAAAAAAAATCTTACGGAGATTACTTAATACAAGAGTGAGTACATGTTTGTTTTTGTTCAAGATTAGGAATATATATTAATTAATTGCAATTACAAACAACTAATTAATTAGAAAATAAGCGCAAACAAGATGTTTGTTTATTTTGCTAACAGAAAAAATCATCAGTAAAAAGATTATAAAAAGGTCTTACAAAAGTTTCATTTTTTAATAGTCTTTCAAATTGTTATTTCTGTTTAAACATAGAACATTTAAGCCCTAAAGATTTTATTTCAAATTGTTAGAGCACAATGTTTTTCATGAAAATTATACTTACAATTAATATAGTGATAGTATACTACCACTATAGTTTATAAAATACTGTTGTAACAGTCGAGAGAAAAAAAGATAAAAAAAGGGTAGATAAAAAATTTATAAAGTAACCGGATCCAATATGCCCCCATTAAGCTTTAAGAATTTTTCTAATTTTTTATTGAGTCCAAAATTAAAAATTAGCGGTCACATTTAAAAGAAGGAACCTTTCTAAAAATTAATAAAAAAATATGAGACATTTGCAAATGTTTATATAGATGCAGTAAAGATTTTTTTTAATGGTTCATTTTGCGCATACTGGGTACATACATACGTACTCAATTATATGAACCTGCGTATATGTTCTCTCTTTTTCATAATAAAATATTAAAAATATGAAAAATGAAGTGACATAACATAATTTTTATAAATTTATAAATTTATTGCACTCATATAAAAAAAATTATTTTTTTAGACATCTTTGTTGAATAAAAAACATAATCAAATATTGCTTTCTAACCTTTTCTAAATTTTGAATGAAAAATTATAATTGAGATTATCAAATCTAATATATGTTATGTGACTGTTAGTTGATGTTCACTGGGGAGCGTGGATCAAGTTTAGCCATATTGGTTCTACCATAAAAGAGTAACTTTTTTTATTATAAATAAAACTTTGTTACAAAAATATATATTTAATACAATGTTGTAAAATATGAATACAGAGCCACAATAACATAAACTATAGAAATTGATAACTATATGGTTTGGTCATACAAAGCAATTACCTACATACGAAATAATATAACGCTATCACGACATTATCTTCTTGTATTAAACACACAAACAAAATGAATCATATGATCTCTTAAATGACGCATTCGAGTCACGCCTTACTACTGCTACTTATTGAATTTGCCGTGTAATTAGTTAAACAGCAAGTTGGTCATTTTACGTATAAGCCCGTATTGAGTTTGGTTACTTTAATTTATTTCATTATTTTACTTTTAATATTTAAGACAAAATACTGTATAAAAATATAAATCAAATTGATGTTTTAATATGAAAATATATTATGATTAATGTAATGAATTAATTCAATTATTACATTAATGTTGTAGCTATTACAAAACTTTTGACAAAAAGCCTTTTATGAATCGTTCCCGAGTTGCTGGATATTTATCTTGGATAGAAAAGATGGTAATTTATATAGAATGCCCCGACTTGTGGTTTGACGCTTCCGCGAAGCGTTCGACGGAATATTGGCAATGCGAGGAATATCCTTTCTTGGATTGGAAGCAGCGTGGTTATAACATGCTTTTTGATCTACTAGTGGTAAGAAATTACTTTATACACACGCGAATCAAAGTAAAAATTGCGTTGCATAAAAATATTTTCAATAACGTTTCATTTTACAAAATGGTGAAACTGTCAGTGAAATTTAAATATATTTCATTAAAAAAAATAATCGCTAGTTGAAAATTAAATTAATGTTCAAGTGTATAATAAATTTTTAACTTTAATAAAATAATACATGTATGATCAATACGTATCTAATCTATTTCTTCTAATCAAGTATGTGATTATTTTACCAGCAAAAAATTCCGAATGCAGAAAAACGTTTGCCAGTGATGGAAAAGGTAGAGCTTGAAAAAATTGTGGCAAATATCGATTATAGCTCAGGCCAAAATGTGACGGTGACTACCAGAGACGGCTGCAAGTATTCCGCATCGCATGTTATATTTACTGGGTCTCTAGGTGTTCTAAAGGAGAAACATTCCTCGATTTTTGTGCCACCTTTGCCGCAGAAGAAGCAACGCGCAATAGAGGTTTTATTAACAATATAATACTGTGAAATAAAACATGTATTATTATTACTATTATTATTATTATTATTATTATTATTACTGTTGATATTAATTAACATTAGTCCATCAGGGATTAAGTTTTAAAACGGTGGACAAAATTTTCCTTGAATTTCCGCAAAAATGGTGGCCGGAGGATAAAGGCAGCTTTGATTTTATTTGGTCGGAACAAGATAAGAAGGACTTCTTGCAAACCCATGGTCAAGTAAGCAACCATTCGAATGTAATTTTGCCTGAGCTTGAAGAAGAACATTTAATAACAAACAATGATTAGTTATTAAAAATAAATTTGGACTATTTTTTTATCTTTACTGTCCTTCACTAATCTCATCTATATTTGTTCCAGAATAAGGAATGGATCACCGATGTGTTCTCGTTTAACACTGTGGCTCAGCAGACGAATGTCTTACGCGCTTGGATAGTTGGAAAAAATGCAAAATATATGGAAACCTTATCGGATACTGACGTATTGGAAGGATTGTATTTATTGTTACAAAAATCGTTGGGAAATCAATATAATGTTGTGAAACCAACAAAAATATTAAAGTAATTTTCTATTGGAACTGATTGTAAGAAAAATAATTAAATCCGTCTATAATTTTTTTTTCTATTTTTAGGTCTCAATGGTATACCAACGAACATTTTCGAGGCTCGCATAGTTTTGAAGGTGTACGTTCCGAGCAAATGGATGTAAGACCGAGAGATCTAGCCGATCCAATTATGATTGGAAACAAACCTGTACGTAATCCCCAAATAAAATTAACATAATATTTTGAATTGTTATGCAAATTGTTTAAAATATTATAATTGATCTCATCGTTTATTCTATGTTAGCTTCTTATTTTGATAATTTTTAAAAGATATGTTCGTTTACTTTTATAACTAATTTAGCTTATAATGTATTACGTTTCTATATTGTGTTACTGTTGAATCGTTATTATGAAAGAAAGATTACTACAAATATTAATGAAATGAATCATAATTAGGTAATCGTTTTTGCTGGAGAGGCTACACATGAGCATTATTATTCCCTTGTGCATGGCGCCGTGGATACTGGTTTCCGTGAAGCGGAAAGACTAATCAAATTTGAAAGGACTAATGTCAATTTGTAATGACGTTGATTTAAGTTTGATATCAAAAGCATAAATACGACATTATAATATTATAATATTAGAGTAGTAGTATTATAATATTATAATGCTCAAATACATTTTGATTATTTTACTTTATCGCTTTAAGATGTTACAAAAAATTGATTCTTTAAACATTTTTTGTTAAAAAATCTTTTATTTATTTTTTATTAAAACTTATATTTTTCAAATTTTTAATTTTTAATTTTTTCCAGTTTAAATAAAAATTGAGTGAAAAAATGAGAGTGATCTATATTAAGCAAAATTTAATTTATATATAGATATACAATCTTGTGTAATGTATTATATTTAACTTAATAAGACTTATTCTTATTTCTGATGTTGTTTAGTGTGTCCACTGTCCGACATATTATATGTATCCAATATTCAAATAAATAAATGAATAATAAATATGAATACTGGTATAAATTTAATTTTTTCATATTCACGGGAAAATCAATAAATACTTTCTATTTAATATAAATAAATGTATTTGTGAATATGATACAAATATTTTTGATTTCACATTGCACTTCCTCATGTACTGTCTGCACACAATTTGCAGACGTACAATAAACAGAAATCTGTAAAAACAATGAATTCGACAAAAAATCATGTATGGTTTAATTCCTCAATTAACATTATGTTTGAGAAAATGATCGAATTCAGACACCGAATTTGTGCTGTGGCGTCGTTAAGAAATAACAAGATACAAATGATTATGAATATATCCGCATATCGTTTCTAGAAATTATTTTATATTTGTTATTTTAAGTTATTTCCCGACCCCTAGACTGTTATTTATTTAGATTAGCACACCGAGCGAGAGAAATCGGCTAAAGGTAATTTAAGCGATCAAATTATTTTACAGTTCTGTTAATTATGGAATTGTTTTGCCCATTTCGCGTATTAAATTATCCGTTAAATTACCGTAATGTGTATCAGAAGATTGTAATAATTACTAGCAAGCAATTAGATTTATTCTAGCCGTGCAACAAAGAAAATGAGGAACCCATCGATTTCTCTCTCGTTTAAAATTAAATTATATGTATAATAAGTCATGTGTTTTCTTCGAAACGGCTGCGGTGAAAAAATCAATATAGGCGCGATTATTTAGCGACAAAACAGGAGTTAATTTCTATGCACGTCCCATCGGATTGTGCTGAAGAGGCTGCGAGTCATTTCAGTATCAAAGATAGCGCATCCCATGAGTTTTCTCCGAAACGGCTGCGGTGAAAAAATCAGGGCGTGATTAATTAGCGACTAAACAGAAGTTAATTTTTATGCACGTCCCATCGAATTATGCTAAAGAAGCTGGGAGTATTTCAGTATCAAAGATAGCCATCCAATGAGTTTTCTTCGAAACGGCTGCGGTGAAAAAATCGGGATAGACGCGATTAATTAGTTACTAAACCAAAGTTAATTTCAATGCACGTCCCATCGGATTGTGCTGAAGAAACTGCGAGTATTTCAGTGTCAAAAGTAGCGCATCCCACGAGTTTTCTTCGAAACGGCTGCGGTGAAAAAATCGGGCCAGGCGCGATTAATTAGTTACTAAACAGAAGTTAATTTTTATGCACGTCCCATCGGATTGTGCTGAAGAAGCTGGGAGCATTTCAGTATCAAAGATAGCCATCCAATGAGTTTTCTTCACATTAATTTTTATATTTTTTGAATCTCTTTATTCTTTTAAATTTCTACAAAATCAAATTATGATACTTAGATAAAATTTGTACGCAAAGAAAATTAAGAATCATCCATTCGTAAACATGATTGTTTCGCTCTCTCCTCCCCAGGGTCTACTGTCGTAATACATATTATTACGACTTTCACCATGCGTTCACTTCGCGATTAAGAAACAATTAGAGCAGCAGGAGAAAACTTGCAATAAAGATATCGGTATTCGCATTTCTTTCACGACATAAGTGTTAACAATATTTCTTTCCCCTCATTTATTATTATTTACATATGTTTAATATCGAGATTGATAGCGGATAAAAACTCATGCAGCATCCGAGCATTCCGATGCATCAAGTTTTTCAAATTGAAGAATAATTTATGACATGTATATACATAACATACAAAAGTCTGTCAGAACAATTTGTCGATTGTGCAATGCCCATTAAGCATTTTTATTTCGAAGATAAATGCTTGCTACATTCATGTCTTTCAAAATATTTGCTTTGCTACTCAAAAAGGTGTTCTTATATTATAAGCCATTATCCAATATTATGATATTATGCAATATATTAAAAAATTTTAATATATTGCATAATTCTCTTTTCGCCACGATTTATCTACTAGTCTGGCTATCACAAGAAGCGATTATCGATTAGATGACGATTTCAGGAGACAGAGAACATGCAGCTATCGCCGACGAATGGCTGTCAGAAAGAGCTTGCTCGCGTTTTGGAAAACTCGAGCGAGGCACTATCTTCTCAGGTAAAGTACACACGATCGATATAGCGTGTATGAGTTTTTACAAATAATATTTTCTAGTCGCGTGAAGCCATCCCTCTCTGCGCACGACACGCAAAGTTTCACACGCATGTAAGTACCTATACGTAAATTTTTTTCAAGTTATTATTCGAGCAAAAAAAAAGATGCCGATTAATTGCACAATACATACAAACACCGCCGTGGATGACGCCGCAGTTTAAATTAAATGAGTCGCGATGGTCACGTTAAAAACAGGATTCTTTGTAAATGTTAGATAAGAGGAAGCGCGTCTCACAGTTCCCCCTCCGAAAAAATACGCTTCTCTCGTCCGATTTTCTCCCTGAAAGACGGGAGAATCTAGATAACTAGAACGAAGGCTACGACGAGTAAGCACCACGTTCTCCTTCGACGATCCGACGGCGATCCGCTAGTCACGCTCGTGATCTGCTCGTGATCGAAACAGCCGATTTCACCGGCGACGTGCGAGAGGTTGGGCGGCTCGCGCGCGTTTCTTCTCGAGAAAAAATATCTTGCCTCCCTTATCTGTGTCGATTCCGACACAGCTGCAGCAAAATAATACGCGGCGCTCTTTCACGTCTAAGCTTAGCGCTAGAGTTATGAATTATACGTGATATATCGATAGGAGATCCAGACAGAAAAATCTCAACTAGCGAATACCCCAGCTAATCGCTTAAGTGTCTCACGATCAATTCGTCAAGATGGGCAACGGAAACTCCAAAGACAATAATGTGCAACGAAACGGCAGGACGTAAGTGTCTTTGTCTTTGTTTGTACTTATCTTGATTGCGAACTCTGTCTCTCTTTTCTCTTTGTTGACGATAAATGAAATTTTAAAATATGCATTGTTGAAAGATTGTAGCATTTTAAAAGCAAGCACTTTGGTGCGAAATGTTGTAACAAATGTTTGCAACACAAAACGTAACTATAACGTTTTAATTGTTATTAAGACATAAATATAATACATTATGCATACATAAAACTCTACAGATAGCAAATACTAATTTTTTCTAAACGCTTAAAATTTTCAATTTTATTAATAATGAGTTTCTGACTGACTCGAGGGATTGCATAATTTAAGGGTGCCCAGAAAAAATTATACTTGCATCGGAAATTATATTATGTTTATGTCATATTTATGACTTAACTTATATTGCACATTGCCCCATACTGGTAAAAGAGTATTCTATTTCTTAACTTTTCCTCGTCAATATTTGACATATCTCGTCATAACTTTCGCACGATAGTGTCTGAATTTCACATTGGCTAAAAATATATATCGCGTGAATCGTGTGACCACAGTATATCACGCTGGTGGCTAAAAGAGTTAAAGGCCAATGCGACAATTAGCGTCGCGTTATCGCGCCTCATCGACTGTATTACATATCCATATGCGCTGATAACTTTGTACAAGGATAAGCAATTTGCGGAGCATGAGAACACACCGTGTGTCTTTCGTATCAATTAGTCCCCCATTTTCGTGATCCAATTCCTGGGGAGGGAAAATATATTCCGGCAAATACGCGATACACTGCACGCACACATGTGCGCGAGATACATATACGTCTTTTCTCCGCTGATGCATCGTACAAGAGAGATAAGGCAGCCGCGAAACGTTTAGTCTATTAAAGCATGTCTACGAAGCAGCTTCTCTCGCCGCTCGGCTGTCATTTGACGGGTTTTCTTCGTCAATCGAGCGGCTTGCATTACGCCTACGAGCTTGAACCTGAAATCTGCCGTCAGCAACACCTGTCCAAGAGCAGGTAAAGTCGACGTGCCGTGTCAATTCCGTTTAATTTATCTAACACGCAAAAACCCTTGCGTCATCTCCGTTTCGTTGAATGTTCTTCTTACTTCACGTCAGGAAACACGCAATTTGAATAAATTAACGTTCAAATTATTGTTGAACGTTCGACGCTCAACAATAATTTGATCAATTACGATTATTCCAGATTAAATTAATTTTGTTTGCATATGAAGGAAAAGCCCTTTTTCTGGCTGTTCGCATTAATATTAATCGTTAATATTAACATTAATATTATCATTAATAATTTCTTAACTAATTCCTTTCGTAGCGAGGCAATCATAATATTTAATTACGCGTGTATATATCATGCCGCATGTACGATCTCGATAATTTCATAAGGGAAAAATAATGCCCAGTCACGACGATTGAATGTACACTTTAAACTTTGATCTAGTCAAGGCAAAAGAGAGTATGAGAGCGTCATATCAAACGATCGATTCGAACTCTCATCGAACTTTGTTCCCGCTTGTTCATGATAGTGCACGATTTTCTAAAATTCTAATATCAACGTCTGCAATCATTTGCATGTTTTTTTTTACATGATGAATCAAACATGACATTTGTTATTCTTCAAATGCACCACGTATAATTGTGCGGTAAATGCGCGTGCGCTAAACCGTGCCTCTTCGCAGGTGCGTATTTAATAAAATTTGCACCTCTAACACGAACTGATATCCCATACATAGCAGTACAATACAGACAAAAATTCTCTAATTTTGCAGAAATTTTAGTTTTAAAAATCTTATATTTATGCTTATTAAATACGTTTATGTAACGTATATTATATTACATATTTATAAGATATAAATTTATATTTAAAGATACAAAACATTGATAAGAAATTTTACTGCTAAAATAAAAGGAAAATATTATCTAAATAAATTACAATTTTATTACATTTATATACATTGGTAATATATAAAGCTTCTATTACATATATAAAATAAATTATTATATTTGTAAGAAGAGATTAATATTTGTTATTACTTCGCTTTCTTTATTTCGATAGGATTTTATTATTCGATAAGAAGATAGGAAAATGTTTTAGAAAGAAAGATGAATATTGTCATTTTAAATATTAGAAAATTAATAATCAATGTTGTCACATTGTTAATTGTTACGTAACAATATATTCATAGAGAATGAAAGATGTGTGTAAAGTTAAAGGATCAATAATTGAAGGTCGCTGCCTTTTGGCAGGCACGGCGGTGTTCATTATTCTACCCTTTTGATTTCGCCGACGCGCACACGTCATGTCACTATCGCGGTTCCCTATCCTACCACCTTGCTGTGCGTTTGCGCGCAGATTGCTCAGACAAGTGGCATTCGTTCGCAGGTCCCAGAGCAGTAGCCAGCCCGACTGTGGCAAGAGCAAAACGTCAACCATGTCGAGCTTGGAGCGCGATCAGCTGGGCCAACGAGGAAGCGGCGACGCGACCTGCGCCGGCCTTCTGCGTGGCCTCGATCACATCAGGGACCCGCAGCTGAATAAGGTAGACCGTTGTGTATCTGACAACAATTCGCGTTACACTTGCCATTTCGCGAACGCGCGTCAACAGCGAGACAATCCGTCGCTCATGATAGACGCAAGTGCGCGTCGTCGTTAGAGATCCGCATAACTTAGGCTTGACTCAGCATAGTGTGCGGAAATCAATTCGAGGAAAGAAAAAGAGTTACGGAACGCGGAACAAGGAAAATAACGAGCGCGAATTTTGTAGAAGGCGTTTCAATCTTAAAACGTCCTTGTAGCGCTTACGTTATCGTCGGCAAGCCGTTTCACATTTCCATACTGATCAGCGAAATATACATCGTTCTTACATATAAAGCAAATGATTTATACATGGCTGAGCAAATAAACGGAAATACTGGAACATGAAGATTCCGAGAAAATAACGCTTTCACCAGATACTTGAATCTGGTTTAAGAAAACATGCGTATCTACGTTCAATAACCATGATTCCTGAAATCTTCTCGTCATTCTACAAAAATATAAAAAGTGAGGATATTATGAATAAAACCAACTCTGATAAAACAACTTTTATATACATATTGTATGATTATCAGATCAGCTTGAAGAAATAATTGTATGACTATTAGAAAATTATGAGTAATATGTCAATTACGATTCGCAAATCGGTGATAATTTGTATCTGTTAATTTATACCGGGTAGAAATTCACGCGAAGCGAAATTCGAAACTTTGCTGCGTGCAACAATTGCGTACGACAAATCGGATTGCAGCTCGATAGCACAATGCAAAATGACTTCGCGAAACTCCTCACGGTAATTGCCCTCTACGCTTGCGCAATCTCGAAACTCGATATAGTTAAATGTCCCATTCACAGGTTGAGACGGCCCTGGGGTTCCACAATCTTATTTTTTTTTTGGAGTTAAGATCTCCATTGAAATAATATTTTAGCTCCCTTTAGGCTTACTTTGCGAGATAAAGAAAATAGAATCTCTTTTCAATTCTTTTTCAACACGGAGCTCTTGCTTTTCCTAAAGTTACTTCAACGTAATAAGAAATTTTTATCCACTTTTAATCCAGAAAAGTATCGATTCAGCGACTTCGAAAGCATTTTTAATCGTATTCGAATTATAAAAAATTACTTTGATATTATTTCGCGATACCATTTGTGAAGCAAACGGGTTTAACAGATTTCAGTTGGGTGCAATCGATCGAAATTCTCCAATGAGGAAATTAAGCGCAGAGAAGTTTTGGGGAAAATAAAACGTATTCCCTCCTTTTCTTTCAACAAAATATCCTTTACACAAGTTGTGTAACTGCGAAACGTTGAATTCGTCGAACGTTTTGCAACGACCGGTCTCGTATTGTTAAGCAACGGGTACACGTAATACTTGCGGTAGGTCACGGAATCACTTTATATTCAAGAATTCAAGAATAGGGCTGCCTATCGATCCGTGCATGAGCCGAAGGGTCGCCGTCACGGGAGTCAAGAACCCCAGCAACCGTTTCCACGGTCGGTTGTTTTGTCATGGGATACGAAAATCCCGAGGGAAAAGTTCGGAGTGATAGTGCACCGAGATAACATGGAGACCGATTGGTGGAATCTCGTTCCGGATCAGAATCGAACTACGCGCATCCCCGAAGCTCTGCTCGCTCTGGACGGAAGGGTATACATTCGTTCTTACTCGCGCGCTTGATTTTACGATCCTATTATGTTCGGAGTAAAAAGCCTTGGACTTTCTCTTTCGCATGTCTCGCCGAAATCTCAACTTTCCTTTGCCGCGATAACACCAGACTGTCGTCTTAACTTTCTCTTTAATTACCTTTAAGTGCCTAAACACACGAAAAATATATTTGTGTTATTAACATTTAATTTGCGAAATTCACTTATTGTTCAATGAGACGAAATAGGAACATCAATTTCAATAATTACATAATTCGATTCTTCCAATGTCGATTTAATTTTAACTAGCTTACTCTCGTTTTATCTTTTTTGGTTTTAGGTGTAAGAAGATACGATTAAAAATACTTTCATGGTTGCTGAATGTAGAAAATTAAATTCTTGAATTAAATGTGCTTCAATTAATATTGATAATTGTATATCGTAATGATAATCGGTAAAAATTTTTTATCTTATTAACAATATTATATTATTCTGATAAGAAACAAAGATTACAAGCAGAATAGTTGCAAGTTAAATATCATAGAGAAAATGAAAGAGAGAGAGATTTTTATATTGGTATATAAACATGAGAGTATGATTCAGAAACAATAATAGCTTTACCTTCAATCATAAAATTCTAGGAAACCGCACTTCCACAAATAATCTCTTTGGTCGGCATTATCAACTTACTCATAAGATATAAACCACTAAGATTACATTCTACTAAACAAACAAAACTGCGATATTCTGCGATACATTAAATAAAAATTTCAAGTACGTCAAAGAAACTTTAATTCGTAAAAATATTTTATTATGTTATATTTTATTTATTTTATATTTTATTAATATTTTATTTATATTTTTTTAATAATAAAAAGACCGTTTTCTTCCAAAAAGGAGGGATTATTGATTTTCTTTGGCTTATTTGTTACATATAAAATTTGAAAAAAAAATTGAAAAATTACGGACGGCAATTTTATATTAGATTTATATTGTGAATCACGTTAAACCATATAAATATCTTATTTCTCTTTCATACCCAATTGTAGATCTCAAAACTGAAACAGTAGAATAAAGAATCTCGTCAGAATACGTACTTATAAAACATTCGATAGAGTTAGTGATCGCTTGAGGGTGTCCATCACAAGGCAGCGAGTCCACCTTAATGGAAAAGTACTCTTCACGAGCTGTCAGCAGTGTCAGCTGACCTTTCTATCGAATTAAATTCAATTACAACTCGCTCTGATGTGACTAACGTGGCTGACGTTTATCTGGAAAAAACAAAATCAGTTTCCAAAAGTTAATAAAATTATTATAACGGGATTTTACAACGGAAATTGATTAAACAACAAAAATAGATAGAATTACAGAAATACACAATATCCAGTCATTGTATTCTACGTGTTGCGGCAAATTATTAAATGCTTTCGTATAAAACGTCTACGTCTTATCATCAGCAGACATCTTATGTAAGAGCGATATTTAATTATCACGATAGATTACGTTATCACGCAACATTTACGTATTACGAAAACATATATTACGATATGACAATGCATTGTTGTCGAAAGCCAACATAAGAAAACATTCAGTCACACAATAGACACAACACTTCCGACAAAAAAACTACCAATATGCAAAAATAACATATTGTAAGCCTCTCCTATTCAACTATTTTCTTTATATTTTTTATATACTTACCTTATATAAAAAGATATGCATTTTTTAATAAGAACTTCATATAAACAGAATTTAGCGGTAAATCCTGATTTTAACACTCAAATTTTTGCGAAAAAAAACATTTGGGATTTTGGGTCTGTTAAAAACAATATAGGCAAATAAAAAGAGATCGAATATCTTATATTGTTTAATAGCACTGTTTGAACATAAGAGGTGATGAGAGAATGTAAAAGGATCTAGTGAAATGTTGCAGACAGTTCTATCATTAATACCAAATCAGGCCAGTTTTGATTATCACTTTGCGGAATAACACAAAAACTTGCTACACTTTTTCGCGGCGGTTGAAGGTAAATGAAATCATCGCATAGCAATGCGGTTCATCAACCGCAGTCGAGATAAGTCGACGGGATAACAAGTTGTCTCGCAAATTGTGTTTTGCTCTTTCAATGTTGACGTTTTATTAATTATAGAAACATCCATTACATTATCGTGCGCGATTCCGCCTCATAATTTATTACGTTCGTTAGTTCTGCAACTAATCTCGCTTGTCGATATTAACTAGCAGAGAATCTTGAAAGGAAGGTATCATCGCAATGAGAGAACAGCAGAATTATTAGAGTATTTCATCTCTTTCACTTTTAAGTTTACTGATATTGTCTACAGTTCTTTCATTAATTTTCGCAATTGTTGTAATCTTGTAATTTATAACACATTATTAACAGCACTCATGCAATGTCCATTTAAGTGCTAATGGCGAGTTCAAAATACGCGAGCGAGCGAAACGCGGGCATTCGTTAAATTTTAATGATGGAATAATCGTATAATGCACTGACAACAGTTAATTTAATCGACCGATAGTTCAAGAATTACCTGGCACGGGTCTAACATTCGCTTTAAAAAAGCATTGGCAGTGTCCCTCTAATTGTAAGATGCTATTATATAAAATCACTATGCTAACGCGGTATACACGTTATCTATAGTCCAATCGAACATAAAGAATGTTCTATTTTAGAATTACGTGATTATTTCTGAAAGGACTAGCTATTAAAAATACTTTGGATTAAACTTGCTCCATTTCGAGAGAATAAATTAAAATGAAAAACCTTTGAAATATAGAGTTTTGTGTTGCCAATTTGACGTCAATTAAATGATGTAATCGAGTCTTTTCTTAATTGCTCTTATGAGAGAATTCATTTTTGCCTAACGTCATCCAAGATTCAATTAGGTACAACTGTGTCGCCGCGAGCATTATTGTGCCATTATCCTTGAAAACGAAAGTGGATCAAGGAAAATAAGAGCCCTATGGGTAAATTCTAATATATATATGTAACTGAATCATGATCATGTTCGTGCAACATTGATCAACGCGTTTGTAAAAATCGAAGTGGGATGACGATCAGCTGATCACCTTTCACCCACGCTTACTAATGCACAGTCAGCATTTATCAGTCTTTTTAATTGAAGGTCACAAAGTCTAGTCTCTGACTGACTTGTCGGTAAATTTTTTCGTGTTGGGTCACGATGTCACAAAGAAAAATAACGATAGCAACATGCGTGCGACATTCGACGTTTTCCGTAGAAATAGTTCAAATGATGAAAACAATTTGATGCGGAAATACATTTTAACAAATAAAATCAAATCGTAGAATTACACTTTTTTCTTTTCTATATATATTTATATATTTTCATTTTTAAAAGAGGCAGAGGATTTTAACTTCGTTTCAAGTGCCGTATTGAATGGTATGCGTTTATATCACGTTTCAGGGTATGGCGTTCACCATTGAGGAAAGGCAGATGCTGGGTATACATGGTCTCTTACCGGCAGCCGTGAAAAACCAAGAAGAGCAGTTAGAGCTCTGCCGTCTTAATCTGGAACGCTACACGGACGATCTCTCAAAATACATATATCTCATAGGCCTACTGGTACATGAACACGGCACATTAACGCCGTCACTTGATCAGGAGATAACGCTATATTATATAGCGGTCTCCCCGTCCCTCCCCGCTTGATCAGGTCCCGCTCCATACCCGTTGATTCTCACATAGAGTCTTGTTCCTTAGGATAGAAACGAGAAACTCTTCTACCGTTTGTTGGCAGAAGACGTAGGTAAAATGATGCCGTTGGTGTACACGCCGACCGTGGGTCTGGCGTGTCAGAAATTCGGTCTGGTTTATCGTAGGCCGCGTGGCCTCTTCATAAGCATCCACGATAAGGGGCACGTGTACGACGTCTTGAAAAACTGGCCCGAACACGACGTGCGGGCGATCGTCGTCACGGACGGCGAGAGGATATTGGGATTGGGTGACCTAGGCGCTCACGGCATGGGCATCCCCATAGGTAAATTGTCCTTGTACACCGCGTTAGCTGGTATCAAGCCCCACCAGTGTTTGCCTGTCACTCTGGACGTCGGCACCAATACCCAGGTACGTGAAAAAAAAAGAAAATGTTACATAAATGTATTACTGCGATAACGGCGCTGCGATAAAGAGCATGCTTTGCTGCTCTTGCCTCGTTATAACGAAACGTGAAAATAAGAATATATTTTTTTCATATAGACTTACTTTTGCGTTAATCCCTTTTTTTAGTCTTAAATCTTTTTTAATCTATACGTGTGCGCGCATTCTTATATTCTTCTTGCAGTCTTTGTTGGATGATCCTCTGTACATCGGTCACAGGCACAAACGCGTCACCGGGCAAGTTTACGACGACTTCGTGGACGAGTTCATGAAGGCTGTCGTGAAGCGATATGGTCCGAATACGTTAATCCAATTCGAGGACTTCGGAAATTTTAATGCGTTCAGACTGCTTCTAAAGTATCGCAACAGCTATTGTACCTTTAACGATGATATTCAAGGCACCGCCTCCGTCGCCGTCGCCGGATTACTGGCCTCACTTCGCGTTACGCGGACAAAACTCTCGGAGAACACGATCGTGTTTCAGGGTGCCGGAGAGGTTGTTATCAAAAACATTTAATTAATGCATTCGACCGTCGATGAAAATGCTTAAACCGCATTAGATTAAATACGAAGAGTAATACGCGTTCAAATTATGATCAAATTTTGCAGGCGTCGTTAGGCATCGCGGCGTTGTGCGTAATGACAATGAAAAGCGAAGGGATAAGCGAGGAAGAGGCTAAAAGCAAAATCTGGATGGTAGACTCGAAAGGGTTGATAATAAAAGATCGTCCAAAGGGCGGATTGACGGAGCATAAATTGCACTTTGCTCGCGAGGATAGGCCGATCGATACTCTGTTGGACGTCATTAGGACCGCTAAACCCTCGGTTCTCATCGGCGCGGCTGCTGTACGGGGTGCCTTCACGACAGAAATCCTGAGGGAAATGGCGCGTAACAATGAGACACCCGTTATTTTCGCTCTGAGCAATCCAACGAGCATGGCAGAATGCACTGCCGAGGAGGCGTACATCGCCACAGATGTAAGAAATTGATTATATATATATTCGTCTTCCCCCCCCCTAAAAAAAAGACAGATTGTTCTTAAAAAATTCTCTACTTTCATTGAAATACAATTTTTCAATATGATGTTTTGCTGATGTTCCCTAAATAATTTAATCAATCACTATCTACGTTTGAATTGCTCAGGGAAGATGCATATTCGCGAGCGGCTCGCCTTTTGCACCAGTCACGTACAACAACAGAACTTACTATCCTGGCCAGGGTAATAATAGTTACATATTCCCTGGAATCGCGCTGGCCGCGATATGCACCGGTATGCGCACGATCTCCGAAGAGACTTTCCTCATCGCCGCAAGGGCTCTTTCCGACTTGGTAACGCAGGCCGATTTGGACAGTGGAAATCTTTATCCGCCACTGGCCGACATACAGAAATGCTCGTTGAGTATAGCGTGCGCGATCATGAAGTATGCCTACAGCAACTGTGAGTAAATAAATATTATTACAAATGCATTAAGACGGAACGAAAAATATGCAAAATCACTTTGTGAATCCTGACACATTATAAATTATTCATATTTTCGTTTGTATACGCAGGTCTAGCGACTGTCTATCCCGAGCCTACGGATTACGAGAGTTTTATCAAGGCCCAACAATATGATCCATACTATAAGTCGTCAATACCTCCAATTTACTCATGGCCGAAATTGTAATACTTTCATTAATTTGACATCTTAATTTTATATACACATGATTATTTCGGATCTATGAAAGAATAATATATATATATATATATATGTTTGAGAGGATTCTTCGGGAAATGAATTTTCCTCGCTTTTCGAAAAAGCCTGTTGATCGGGCTTGTTTTATTTCTAGCGCCGCGTATGTGCGAATAACCAATATGCAAATATAAAGTTATTAAAATTCGCACGAATGAATTTGTGTTTAAATACGAAGGCATTATTCACAAGTGTATAAGCTCGACGTAAGAATTGATTTGCTGGTTGAACAAATAAATATCGATGCTGGTTTGAAAGAAATGTATTTATTGCTACTCGAAATATCGTTTGTTTTTCTGCAGGAATAAACATCCCCGATCATTTGACGAGCAGTAGATATAATATTTTTCATATTTCGTAGACATAGTATAACTAAGGTCAAACAAAAACTTACACAAGTGATACAGTTGTGCAAATTAAAGATGTCAGTGACAAAAGAAAAGTGGAGATTGCATCTTCATGTTCGATCATTTGCCATTACACTCGGTGCACGTCATCAATTTAATTTAAATCCTTTATAAGACAATAATAGATAATATAAAATCGACAAAAAATTTTGCTTGATTAGGCCAAGAACTTAAATGCGAGTCTAAGGTCGGCAAGTACGATCACGAAGAAGTTTTGCGAATTCTTTTCCCGAACTTCAATGTATCCAGAAACGAATGAAAGAAAAGAATCGTTCGAGAGAAATATTTCCTAAGACAATTATATATTCTTACGTTTCAAGATGTATATAATTCACAACGATGAATTGATGATCGTTATTCATACACTTCCTCTCTCGCTCGCTTTCTCTCGATTCCTGTCAACTCTATCGACGTGTACGCGTAAAACTATCTTCCATTTTTATCACCAGTCCGATACTTAACTGGCAGAACACGTTCGCGGTCGTCAATTCAAAACACCATTATAAACTGCGGACCTCGAAAGTGATCTTTACTTCTCAAATTCATTTATATCGCATACAGTAACATGGTAATAAATTTAAAGGGACAAAAAATGTACAGAAGAGCGTTTAAAAAATTGTTTACAATTGTGGGACTCTGTTACGCTACACTGAGCAGACACACTGGCCTTTTTGCGGGCCAGTAACAGGGACCTCGTCGCTGCTTCATGATCGACAATTGCGATAAAAACGAACCACCAAGGACCTTTATCGGATAGTAATCTGATCGCTCGTCGTTACATATACTCGAATTAGTCCAAGTTCCACGGCACCACCGCACTACTGCTTGCCCTACGTGTAGTTCTTACTTATATAATTGCAAGTCAAATTGAATGTAGATTAAATGAGAAATTTCAATGATCAGTATTTATACACACATACACGCGCTCTAACCTTCAAATATGTTTTCGCATCATCACATTATCGAGTCTCGTAGTTACGAAAGAGACATGTTTTCATGAAAATTAATGATATCAGAACGAAGACGTAGGGCAGTAGTGTCGTTGAAAGCGGAGTGTCTGTCCAGCACGGAGGTCGGTCCCTTTCCTAGCTTCATCGAGAAAGTGAATGTGATCGTTCGTGAGATTGTTGAGAATCACCGGCTGCCCGCGGATCCGGCAGTCTCTGGGATGCCGGTAAAGCGTCAAAGAACGGATGAGTCAACGCATCCTTCAGAGTAATACGTTGCGAGGGTTCGTACTCCAGCATTCTTTGAATGAGATTAAACAGCTGACGATGTTCCTCCTCATCAGACAATATATAACGCTACACAGATACAAAAATATATACATTATTTTACGAAAAGCAACAATTACAATATTTTATATCTCCGAAACTATTTTATCATCAACTGAATTAATTCTAATCTACATTCTAAATTTTCACCCGCTTTATTCTTACTATTGGAATCTTTATCTCAATAATCTCTATAATTCGTAATCGCTATAATTTGATATAGAAACTTGATTAAAGTTAAATCAAAATACTGACATGTAGTGCCTTGCTTTATATCTCGGAAACTATTTTATCATCAACTAAATTAATTCTAATCTACATTCTAAATTTTCATCCGTTTTGTTCTTACTATTAGAATCTTTATCTAAATCTCTAAAATTCGTAATCGCTATAATTTGATATAGAAACTTGATTAAAGTTAAATCAAAATACTAACATGTAGTGCCTTGCAATTATCTCGTACGTATCTACCGGCCGAACTCTTGTCATCCCAATCCAATTTGCCATGGTAGAAGTACTTGGTCTTAGTTTTGCGGGCCATGCGATGTGGTATCGCGCCAAGTATGCGTTCCATCATCGCCAAGTGTTCACGATTATCGTGCGTTTGGAATAACGTGAGGCCCAAGTATAACTCGAACAAGATGCAACCGATGGACCAAACGTCGCAAGGTTGAGACCAACCTAATTCTGCATACAGAAAAATACACGTGGGATCAATGATATAATAATAACGATACGAAGGTACACGGAGAGAATTTTATTTTAAAATTTACCCTGAAAATCATGTTAATCGTAGGACAACATAGTATTTCGACAAATTTTATATGATTTTCACTATTTTTTTAACTATATACTACAACAAATTTATTGTAGCGTATAGTAAAATCTGTCGAAATACTATATTGTCCAACGATTTTAAAATTTTTAGAGTAAATTTTAAAAGAAAATTCTCTCCATATACGTGCAACCAAAACGATATTTTGAGAGAGGCGCTCACCTAAAATCACCTCGGGTGCTCTATAGTGTCTCGTGCTAACGATCGTACTATGATGTTCGTGATCGAAAGTAGCGCTACCGAAGTCGATAAGTCTAATGTCGGTTCGCTTCACGCGTCTCATGTCCCTCCGCTTGAAAAGAAAGAGCTTTTTTGAAACACTTTAGAATAGAAGCTTACCCTACATGCCGAATCGAGGCTCAATGAATCGATAATACAAAATATTAACGATAGCACACCTTTTTGTTGTTATACGTGCTGTCGTAATCCGAGTCGACAAATAAAATGTTCTCCGGTTTAAGATCCGTATGCGTCAGCTTATTATCATGCAAAAATTTTACAGCGTAACAAAGCTGATAGCCTATGTGCCTTACGTGTTCCAACGGATACGGCTGATAAGTGTTATCTCTCTGTAAAAATAATTTCGTCAGTATCTCAGATCTGATAGTCTTCGAGACGTTTAGGATGTGAATGCTTTAATACTCACCAGGAAATCAAAGACACTCAGACCGAGCATTTCGAATGCGATGCACATATGCCCATGATAATTGAACCAATCAAGCATCTTTACACATAGACTGAAATTGAATAATCAGTAGTTAATTGCCGCCGTTTCATAAAACTCAAATTTAACTTAAAGCAACGAATATCTTTGCGTGTAACCTTAACTTTACGTCAACAAAGTACTTAAAGATTAAAGAACGAACAAAACAATTGGATACTAACTGCTGGCCTTCCGGATCCTTATTAGCGATCTTTTCCAGAGCATTTATCTCCAACTTTGCTGCCTCCCTGTACTTCTCCACGTTTTTAATAATCTTCAGAGCCATCACATGATCCCTAGAATGTTTATAACGTCATGATGTCTGTTACCGAAACTGTCTCTCGTCAGCTCAAATCCCGCATCCCGTGAGGACGGGGCAGCGCGTAGAAGAACATCATTTTTCACGCGGACGTTTGCCATAAGTTTAGTGTTCCGCTAAAGAGATCTAATTCGCGAACGCCTAGCTCGGCGTAAAACAAAGTGCAAGGCCATCCTATTATTGCGACTACTAGCGCGTCATTTTGTGACAGTGCCGGATAGCTATTTCTGCCCGTGGAACACCGTCGCGCAACGCGCGCATTTTCCTCGACGCACGAATTGACGATGACGCGCGTGAGGAACCGAGCGAGATCCAAGAGGATAGTTTGCGCGACCGCGAAAAGAAGTAAATAGAAATAAATAGATAGAAATATATATATATATATATATTTCTATACATATTTATATACATATACATATGAGTAGACAGTGCGAGACGCGAAGTATGTTACCTATGTACTTATGCGTGAACTGACACTTACATTTGCAAGTCCTTAACCTTGACAACTTTTCCAAAAGTACCCTCCCCTAGGGTGGCCAGTACTTTATCTGGAATGCAAAAATCGAGATAAATATCTAGCAAATATGAGCCTAGCGACCCACGAGGGGAAGGAGTGCTCGCCTGCGTTCGTTAACCGGATGGAGCAGCCCTTTCGCTCATGACTTTGACAAAAGCCTTTGGGTGCCTCGCGTCCATCGTTCCTTAGATAAAGGAGAAGGAAGACCGCTCTCTCAAGGAGAGCCGTCGGGTCTAAAGAAGAAAAAAAAAAAGAAAAAGAAAAATAAGGACCGCGAAGGAACGCGAGCGAGACTCTTCCGTGTGGGCGTTCGGCCGATCGTGCGTTATCGTACACGCGCGGTTCATGGTGAACGGGATAACGAATAAACGGTGGAATAAACGGTATCGTATAGTTTAAATGCCATATCGATCGGAAACATCGCTGCTCTCCTAAAGGCCCTAAAAACGGGGTAAGCAGCGTAATCGTTTGAAACGGACGCGCGGGACGTGGCATTTACTGTCGGTCGTACGGGAGGACTTTCGTCGTCTCCCGTCCTTTTTCGTATTTTTACACAGCGCGTAGGCAAGGAGTTCAATGATATCAAACAATACAAAAAAAAAACAACAGCGAGAGTAAATGCCAATTGTCCTCGCATGCGCGAATATCAAGAGCGAGGAACACGCCGTCCCGAGGAGGACGACATATCGAGAAGATAGCGCAAGCAAGAGGGCCTTTCGATCTTTCTCACTCGTCTCCCTTCCTTCGAGCTCTCTGTCTCCACCGAATCATCCTCGCGTTCGAAGGGATCCGTAATTCAGCGGGGAATCAAAAAGGAATCTCTTTGCGCCGGCTTCCCGATAATTGTTATCGTCGTCATCGTCGAGCCGACGGGCTTCCTACGTGCTATTGAAACACGTGGTGGCTAGATATATATATAATATACATATATATATATATATATATATGTTATTGCTTATCTTTCTGAAATAAATTGTACATAAGCAGACAGACAGAGAGAAACTATATCTTTTTTTTTTTGGTCTTTCGCGTATCCCGAGTTAGTGCGCGACGTAAATGTCCGGAAAGATCGACAGGAATTTTTAATCTAGATAGAGAACCGCGCTAATGTGTGTACGCATAAATATGTGTAAGTGGTTCCATAATCTATATGTATATAGAATATCTCTATATATGCGCGCGTACGTGTATGTTGAACGGCGATGCTCAGCGAGAACACATAACGTGATTAACGCGTGAATTGTTACTCTTGTTCTGTAGTGTAAATATTGTTTTATATATAATATCTATAATTCTCAGACAAAGAGAAGTGAAAGATAGGAAAAAAAGAAACGAAAAAGACAGAGAGAGAAAGAGAAAGAGAGAGAAAGAAAAGAGACAGAAAAGAAAGAGACAGAAAGTATGGGCAGATACCGTAGATAACCGATCAGTTAATTGACCTGAGGCTTGCTTAAATCTACTACAATGAGTGTATTCACATGATCACGAACATCTATTTGCCAGGATGTCGCCGGATTGGTATACAAGGTGGCCGTCTTCGTCGTCCTCGACGGAGGGCGGTCGTGGGCTCTATTTGGGCCGGCGGTATCGGTATCGGTGCGTGCCAAGAGTTGGACCCAAATCGCAGGCGCCGCGGACCCGACGTGTTCGGTATTCCGTGTTCGCGCGTCGGTCCGATTCGGTAACATGGAGAAGAGGTCGCGCCGAACGTAGCCAGTGCACGTGTCCAGAGTTGAGGCGCCGTTGAGGGCGGTCGATGGGTCGCCGGGTCACATCCGTCGTAGGTCCACGTGGCCATATGGGATGCATGCCGGTATCCAGGTCGAGTGGCCGCCGATGGTCAACACACCGATCGCCATACACCGTGCCATCCACCACCGTCGCCGTCACCACCGCGAATCGGCGGAGACCCCCGTGTAACACGCGGCAGAGGACGTGTGTAAGCACGGGACGAACGTACGAGTGTGTCGATGGGGGTAGGAAGGTAGGATAACATCGTCATCGTCACCGAGAGAGAGACAGAGAGAGACGCCACCCGATCCGAGCGCCCGGTCGACCATAGTTGTGACCAATCCGTGTGTGCCATATCCGTTTCCATTCCATTCCATTCCATTACAACGGAGATGGTAACCCAACAATCAGAGAGAAAGGGGAGAGGGCAAAATGGTTTGCCAAGTCAGAAAGTTGCGGTTACGAATTTACCATCGGCACATAATACGTATATTCTTTTCTTTTCATTTACTTTTTAACGCTTTTCTTTAGTCTATGTTTTTTTTTTTAATTTTTCATACGGCAGTCGTTTTTTTTATTTTAATTATTTATCCGTTTTCGGTTCTTTTTTATCTCGCTCGCTTTTTTTAGATATATACTCGTTATATATTCGTGTTAGACCTGGTATATGCGTGCCTTGAAGGAGCCGTCTTAAGACGCGCACGGCTCTACGGACTAGAGCACTTTGTACGACATGAAACGACTACAAATGCACATTCTAACGTAGGCAGACAGAGAAAAGCAGAGAGAGAATCATGTGCGTTATGTACACGTATAATCGCGATAAGATATATATGACAATGATTTTAATGGCGATAAATATTTGTATATATATGTATTATATATGTATAATACATATATATATTTATTTATTTAATTACTTATTATATTTGATCGACGATAATTTTGCGAACGAGACAACGAATTATACCGATTTATCCAAATCCCAATGTCAACGGAAAACGAATAGATACTTAAAAAAAAAAAGAGAGAAAAAATAAAACACGCGGACGACCGGACAGCTTCTTCGAAGTGCTCGTAACACGTTACCTTTCATCTAACACGGAGAAGTAGCTTAGTTAAATTGTTAATTGCTTGACAGACTCGTCATATAGTACTTACGTGTTCGCGTAAACCGCCGCTCCACGACGATCGATAGACATATCTCTCGATCCTCATGGGGCACGATCCTTGCCGCAATTACGAAGCAATACTGATCGGGGTTTCGACCCTACCTTATCGAGAATATCGACACGCGGACTGAACTATCGAACTGTTTGAATTGTCGGTTTGCTAGTCACTTTTACGTACGATGAAATCAAACAGAAAAGAGGAGAAGCAGAGTCGTGTACTCTCTCGTAGTCCTTCGTACTCTCGAAATGTTATCAAGATTATAAAAAAAAAAATAGACAATCAAAAAACATAAAACTGCTGCATCTTCGATGCGGATACAATTCTGATCTTAATGCTAAGATTCAGTTTCGCTTCTCACGAGCGTATACCGGCACAGTCCTGAATATATTTAGCCATCGTGTAAGATGACGCTTTTCTCAAACATATCGAATGGTCAGATAATTGAATTGAATCTTAGCACACATACAAACAGTATCTACATCGCAAATGTATATATTATCCATGGAACGTGTGTTACTCTCTCAATCCTCGAATCGAAAACACAAGAGATTGATAAATATTACATTCGGAGTCGCGATAAGGTAGTTCGGCGTGGCAAGACGAGTGTCCCCAGGTATTCTCGTGGTACTCTCTCACGGCAAACATTGGCAGACGTGCAGTGTTTAGCTTATCGGCGAGACAGCGAGAAACGACTACTGCGGTTAATAGGCCTTTCAACGGGCTCGCGGAACAGAACGTCAGTCAGCGTGAATCTAGGGAGTGCTAGGGCGGAAAGGGATTTCACACGAGTTGCACACGCGCGTCTACAAGTACATACACATACACCCGCACACACACGCAATACACACGCAACACACAGGTGAGGATGAAGAAAGACAAGACGACAACAACGGCAACGGACACGCTCTGCTTAAAACGGCGCCGCTTTCGCGGGATCGCGCAATCCGGGCAGCCCGTGGCTCGACAACTTACGATCGCGTCGTGGATCGCGTCCACCTCGTTAATCGCGCTCGCGTTACTCAGGGCAATCGTGCCCTTGCAGGACGCGTCGTCTTTCTGGCTGTTACGGTGATTGCTCTTCCTGTACTTGCTGGCGATGAGATCCGTCGTGCTGGGACGTACGTTCGCCTGTCCGCCAGCCGCCAACTGGCTGTAGGTGTCCTCCATGGCGGCGTACTTAAGGATCAGGCTTTGGATCTCCTTTCGCTTGGCCGCCCGATCCGAGATCGCCGGATCCTCCACATCCTCCGTTAACGCGTCGTACGTGTTTTGCGCAATGCTCTGAGCGACGTCGTTGAGGTTCTCCGCGTTGTGGTTGGCGACAGGCGTCTTGTCCGGATCGACCGCGGTCTCCCTGCCGCCCGTGAACGTCAACGGTTCGATCTTGACCGGGCGGGATAATCTCAGAGACGTCGCGCGAGTTTCCAATTGCTCGCTCTTGCCGTTTCGATGCGGCCTGACTTTCCGATTGCGCGTTTCCGCGTGTCCGGACTTGTGCCTGCCGTAGCGGCGGTAAGCTTCCGAATTCAGCAAGGTCTGCCGAGCGGTGCGGTTGTAGGCGGGCGTCTTCTCGCGTCTGGGCTCTCTGCTCATCGCGGAGCTCACGTAGGGATAAGCTTTCTCGCTAAGAAGCACGCTGGTGGGACTCTTGATGATCGTACGAGTCATCGAAGGCTCTAAAGTCTTGTCGTCGCGCACAAACGGACTGTCTTCTCGGTAGTGATAGCTGTGATCGCGCTCCTGTCGCCGCGAATAACCGCGGGCGCTTCGCTCCGAGTCGTCTCTTGCGTGCCTCTTGCCGGAATACTTGTCCAAAATCGTACCGTACTTGTCCTCCAGGCGACTTCGCGTGCTACCCAGTCGGCCGACAATGGGCGATCGCCTCGCGGCCGTGGCGCCGACGTCACGGTCGTTGAGCGCGGACGTTCCGCGCACCCTCGTAGTCAACTTCTGGAGCAGGCTCGTGCAGGAGTCGCTTAGCATCTGCGTCACGCTCGTCGTCGTGGACGAGCGCGCGAAACGGCCCCGTCGCGCGACAGAGCCCTGTCGAGAGGTCGACATGGTGTCGCGCGGCGCGAATATGAACATTTGGAATAGCTCGAGATCGCTGTCGAATCGTGAACTATGTGGAACCACCACTGATTTTCCAGATCAGACAATTCGACCCTCGATGAAACACTCAGGATCGTTCTGGATCTCGCGAGGCAATCTCAGCGCGACATGCCCGAGCCGCGGTGGCTAAGTCGTGCGAGGAGAGTGGCCGCAAGAGCGATCGAACACGAAGACACCGAGACTGACGAAACGGTCTTCTACGCAGATACATCACTACGGAAAGGCGCGAGCACGCCGATCACAAAAAACGTCACCGAGGAAAGCACTAAACTACAAGCACAACGACGATCAGCAAGGGGGCGACGACGACGCCGACAACGACGAAGACGATGGGCAACGTCGGCCGTTCATAAAGATGAAGACGAAGACGGCGGCAGCAGCGACGGCGACGGCGACGACGACGACAACGAGGAGGAGGAGGTGAAACTCGGTGCGCCCCGCCAAATACTCTCTCGTCGTACTAAAAATACCAGGGAGCGGTGGTGTGCCCGCTCCGAAGAGAACGATTCGTCCACCTCTCTCGAAAGCGACTCTTCGAGAGCGATCGGATGCGGAGTAACGAAGAGAGAAAGAGAGAGACGGCCGATCAGCGTAACTCGCACGCGCGATTGCGGCGAAGGAGAGACGAACGGAATTGGAAGAAGACGAAGAAAAGCGCAGGTGGAAAGCGGAGATGACGAGGAAGGCGAAGAGAAGGATCCGCGGGGTATTACGTAAATTGTTTCGGAACGCTCGTTCGAAACAGTGCCGAAGTTCTGCACGCGTTTATGCTTGGCAACGCTTTGCGTCGTGCTTCCTGGTGCATAGAAACGAGATGTCCATGAAGGGCACGTGTTTCTGTTACATGCACACGTTGCGGGAAAATGCATCACAGGGCGCTGTGTTTTCACGCGAACTATCTCTCTTTCTGTCTCGCGCTCTCGCTCGCTCCGTATACCTTGACACACATAGAAATTGCGAAACGGCTGCGACGCCCGATGTAGAGTAGGTCCATTGCACGGCCCAATACCCATTGGCCATTTAAGTAACGACATTTAAGTTGACATTTTTTTTTTAATAGACAGCGATATTAGAATGACGAACACGCGTTGCGTTTTGTACGCGCCTTTTCAGTACAGGGTTCTCCTCCGGAAGATTTTGGAAGATAACAAGAATCACGAATAGAAACGACATAAGAGACGGAAGACATAAGAGAGGAAATATATGATTATCTGTGTCGACTTACCATTATTAATCTTTTTTTTTTTTTTTTCGAAATTTTACTATTATTCTAATTACGAAATGGCAAGACAGAATTAAGTTTTCAGAGATTATCTAAAGAAAAACTGTCCTCGCAGTGACAATTGCGCCATCTAACATTTCTATTAAATTTCGGATAACAAAAATCAAGCATCAAGCGAATTATAATTAAAAAAAGAAATATCTTCGGATGAGATCTGATAATCTTACTTGAGAATCATGAAAATTGATCTTCCACGTGTAAATAAGTAAAACGATTCAAAATCTAATATCCAAAGAGAAATGAATAAACAAATAGAGCATACGTCGCTAAATTCCTCAAAATTCGACGGTCTAAAAAATCACAAGAGCTTGACTAAAGAATTAGTGAACAGATTTGTGGACTTTGGTACTATTAATAAAGCTCGAGTTGTCTCCAAGGCCGCGATGTCGAAGATATCGTCCTATCGTCGTAGATTTTAAGTCCGAGTATCGGTATAAATACACGCCGTTTACAAAACAGCGGCGCAGTTTGTTCGCGCAGACTACTCGCCCACGGATAACGACGCCGCATCGGTTTCAGAATCATCTTCAAAATATTTTCTAGCGAGGCGGCTGATTAATTTGGCACAAGTTAGAAATCAGACCACTTAAAAATACAAACGCGCATACGCATTTCTTTTATCGGAACTCCGAGAGACCTGAGCTTTTTCTACGAAAATTCTATCGTTACACAAATAGAATTGAAGAATTAGGCCAAATAAAATGCTCGCACTGATCGCAATGGATACAGAACGAAATAAGAGAATATCACAATCAATATGGATCACCGCTACAAACGTTTCGCTTAACGGAATGTATTTTGTCGCATCATTAAAAAAAAAAAATACTCCTGTTAAATCGCTCGTGTTGCGATAACGGAAGTGTCGTTGCCATAAAGAGTTACGCGTGTTTCTTCCGCTACCTACTAATATTGACCAAGGTTAGGCCGTAATGTTGGGTTAAAAACGGAGAGGAGGAAGAGGGAGGAAAGGGGAACTAGCGCCGCGCTGGAGCGGAGCACACGCTCCTCGTTCTCCAAGTTGCGTCGTCGTCGTCTTCGAGAACGGGCTACGCCAAATATAAACCGGTGGCCTGAAACGCGTGCGCCATGATCGTCGTGCTGTACAGAAAACCCAACGCGCCGCGCTTAAATGTTAAAGTCCTGGCCGACTAATCAGCTCGGCAGGCTCGCGCCGTGTCATCGCCGTTGCTGCGTGGCGGATGGCCAACAGAAATGGACGCACGCGTTTTATACATTAACCCTTTCACCCAAGAAAAAACGGATTTTCGTGTTATATTTCGTGTGGCGTTAACCTTTAAATTATTAGAAATATTTTTAACTAAATAAATACTCAAACGAAAAAATTTTACATCTCTTGAAATTAATTATAGTATTTTAGTATCATAATAAAGTTAAAACAGAATAAATTTTCAAACTCAAATTAGTCAGAGATGCTTCTTCAAACATCTTGATATTAATAATCTTTTCTCCGTATATACATAACTAACGATCCTTTTAACGACAAAAACAAAAAAAGATTTCAAAATTATGATGTAAAATTTTTCAAATTCAATGCACGGAAGGGGGATTGGAATATGCTTCAAACCAATATACGGTTGCAGAAATAGCGAGCATAAACAACGCGCACGTACAAAAACACACGCATTCGAGCGAGTAATTAATATCGAATATGGGGCCATACGAAGGTCTCGACGCTACCTCGGAAGTCGATGTATCGTTAGTTTCGGGAGTGACGTCAAGTTTCGTGTCGAACTCCCTGGTGGTCTCGGTGTCGTCGCGTTGCAACCACGCGTCCCAGTCGTGACGCGGCCACCAGGGGACGTTTCCAGGCATCAACAGACTCACTTCCTGAGTCTGGAAGGACGATGACGACGACGACGCGGCCGACGGTGGTCCACCGTTGGCCACCGCACCGCCGCCGCCGCCGAGGGCGGTCCAGTTTCCAGGATCCAGGTTGACGGTTGACGCGTGAAACGAGAGACGATTCACCCGGGCACCTGCACCTCGCGTCGCGTCTCACGAGCGCATCTTGCCAACTGCAAGATGCGCGTATTTCTAAATCCAGGTTGAACGAGGTTCTGGGTCGCCAATCGTGCCGTCAGACTTTTCCTACGGCGGCGATAAAACGAGATCGACACGATTTTGCTTCAACATCCCATTTTCGAAGTATTAATTTTTCAGCAAATAAGTTCGTTATTCTCGAGGCACTTTTTCGATTCGAAAGAATAGCTGGAGCTTCCTTCGTTCGTTTCAGATGCGTTTTAGCATGCTTCCTGACGAATCGGCTACGAAGGAGCCTACGCGTTCGCTTTCGGTGAACCGGTCGGCTTGCCGGCGTTCGAACGTTCCTCGACGACGGCGGCGACGATGTTGCGTTGGCCATCTGGCGCAAACTCGCACTAAAACCGCGGCGAAACCGCGTGACGAGTCCCCCTCGAAAATAGTCGCCGGTCGAAAATAGCCGGCGTCGAGTAAGAAAGAAGAATCATCGGCATTCTCGCGCCGAGTATACACCCGTTGCACCACGAGATTCTCCAGAGACTGTTCTCGCTCGGTAGAGCGCGTCGACGCGCTAACTCTTCTCCCTCTGTGTCCTACTCGTCCTCACGCTTCCACATATCGATTATCATCAAGGATCTCCGTTACGTATCAAAGCTTAATAGGTAATGTAAGTCCGCACGTTTAATACGTCAAGGAATTCGACTTCGTTATCCAAAAACTGAGTAGATAATCCAGGGTGGGTACTCAAATTTTATAAAAGAATTGCCTGAAAATTCCCGGATTTTCCAGGTATTTTATTCAAAATTCCAAGTAAGATTAGAGAATATCTCAATACAACTTTAAAATAAATTAGGCGCTAAGAGTTTTAATAGAACTTGATGCGTAAAACAATTTAATCTTCTCATATGTACAATAGTTACATCTCCATACAAAATTTTTCGAACGTAACGAGAGATTTTGTATGGAGATGTAACTACATATGTGAAGATTAAATTGTTTCACGCACCAAGTTCTGCGTTATTAGACTCTTAATGCCTGATTAATTATTTCCAAATTATCGTTTTTTTTTTAGATTAAAGAGTCTTTATATAGTATATGTCAATTTTGAAATAAACTAACTTTCAATATCAGGGGCCTTCGAAATGGGGCCACGTTTACTTTCTAAAAGGATAAAATTAAATTTAAAGGTAAAATTCAAAAAATTAAAAATTTTCCTGAGTATCAGTAAAATTCCATGAGAATTCATGATTTTGAAGGATAAAAATGAAATTCCCTGAGAATTCCAAGTTTTCCCGATTTTTCCCGGTAGTACCCACCCTGTAATCTCTTCACAGACTGTTTCTATCCATTAACTTCGATTCAGTTTCTGCATTTGATTCCTCTTCACACTTTCATACGTGCGTTATCATAGTTTGCTCGAAATTTGATAAAAAAAATATACGAAGCTTAGCTTAACTCTCTCCATACCGTGCGTAAAGAATTAGTTTATTAGTGCACAGTGAAACTTTACGACGACAGCATTCATAACAAAATGATCTCAATCGTTTCGCAAAGGCTTTCAACATCATTCAACAAACATCATTCAACAACCGTATAAAAGTCTGAGTCGCGACAGAAGTTTGATTAAATGTAAGAAACACACGTAAGTACATTTATATTAAAAATCCAAGTAATCGCGCGATTAGTTTGCCGTGAGATTTCCACAAAGATATTCGAAGAGAGTACGTTCTATGTATGTGTGCATATATTAGGAAAAAAAATGAATATCGTGTTTACCTTCTTTCACAAAAAGATAAATTTAAAAAGGTTTAGAAAACGAGTTTTCTATACCAAATAATTTACTCTGCAAAATTTTCTCCAATAAAACAGCATTGATGAAGTACGACAGAGTACGACAGGCGTCTGCTGTGTATATGTTTTCATAGATCAAGGGTTAAAAGCATGATCAGATCGACTTGTTTGTAGATCATCGGTCGTGTGTCACGCGGCGCAGTAAAAAACAGCGAACAGGAGCGCGTAAT